TTTCTATTGTGTAGGAGAAAAATTTCCAGGACATGGGGCATGATGGATATGCAGCTTTAGCATATACAGTCAAAGATTCTTCCTAAGTGATTTTGCCCACTTATATTACCACAGAAGTGTATGGGACTTCGAATTGCTTGATCTTCTGAATATTAGCTATCCTAAATGGTGGTTTTAATTCCGGAAATTTTGATTTGAATCTTTCTAATGATAGTGAGATTGAGTACTTCCTCAAATGCCTGTTGGTCATTTTAACATCCTCTTTTTTTTTTTTTAAAGTGCTGGTTGAAATCTTTACACATATTCCTATTGATATTTATCTTCTTATTATTGATTTGTGGGAAATCTTTATATATTCTAGATACAGATTCTTTGACAAGATGTATGTATTACTAATTTTTTTTTCTCAGTCTATGGCTTGGCTTTTCACTCTCTTAGTGATCCTTAATTTTAGCATAGTATTATTTTACAAATGACCTTTATTACCTGTTTTACAAATTCTTTGCCTGTCCAAAGATCATGCAAAGATATCCCACTTTTTTCCCCCTGAAATCCTTAATATGTAAGTTTCACAACTTAGTTCTACAGTCAATCTGGAATTATTTGATAGAAGGAAGTTCAACAGAGGTCAAGACCTGGTTTTCTTATTTTCCATATGGATATTCAATTGAGGTGCTGGATGAGGTTGCTCTCCTCCAGTTGGGTCTCATCTTACCTTCTGGTAGTTTGATAGAGTTGAGGACATACATTTTATTTGGAAAGGACTGAGGTGATTTAACTCATCTGCTACTTTGTACGACTCTGTGGATCTCTGGTTTGCCCCCTCTTCATGGAGGAACCCTCAAGGGTCCCAAGACCTTTCTCCTCCTCTTCCATCTTCTGTTTCTGTTTTATCAAAGTATAATTTACACGGACTARAATTCACTCTTTTTCTGGACAGTTCCACAAATTTTGATCGATTCTTAAAGCTCTGTGTAGTGACTGCCACAAATAGAACTACACGATAGCTCTGTGGATCCCCAAAGGCTCTTTTCCTTTGAAACTTTAAGTTTTTCCTACTTGACGCTATGAGACTGCTTAAAAATATGGCTCTTCCTCTCAGAAATGTTCTGCTTTCCTTTTTACTCTCTTCCATGATCTTGCCTTTTGTATATTAAGGRCAACCAATGCCTCAAGGGGGGAGTCCCTGAATGGGAGATCACTATTCCAGGCCCTCCTTCTCTCCAGGAGGATATTGGCTCCTGCGATCCTGGTTATTGCAGACGGTCTCTGATGCCTTCAAATAAATTTTGAGTGTTTTTGAAACTTATCCAGATTTTGTAGTTGTTCCCAGGGAGAACACTGGACTGCCACAATCTATTCCATGAAAGGCAAATACCTAGGTCTGTCTATCTACCTTCGACACACTCATTAAACTCCCCGTCCCTAACATTTTGTAATAAATTTCAAAAGATCAATGTTGGCAGCTCTGACAACCCCACGTACTCAGTCATGGTGAGAGCTTGGAGCAAGATAAATCTGGGTTTTAATTCTAAYTCTATCATTTATCAACGAAGTGGCAATGAATCTGAATCTGTTTCTTCACTTTCAAATGGGGATAATAAAAACAAGYAGTCTCACAGCTTTCTCATGAAAATTAAATCACAGATATCAGTTATCTCGTACACAGTAGTCAYCCAATAAATTATAGATATTATCATGTGATACATTATCATTTAGCTCTGTATAATACACTTTTTTCTCAGAAGTGATGGAGATAGAAGTTATTAACCCTAAAAAGCAATACTCATCACTGAGCACCCCTTAGAAAAGAGGGGTTCAGTTGACATTTTATCCATATCTGCAGGTTTATTCACAGATATTAAGACAAATACAATACATTTTTTCCTTAAATTATCTCATATGTATGTATATATATATATATATATATATATATATATATATATATCTCCCATCTCAGTTGAAGGGCTCTTAAAATTCTACTTCAAATGCTTCATGTTACAGATGAAGGAAGCAAGAGGCCAGGAATGGTTAAATGACTCGTTCAAGGTCAGTTCACCCATTAATATTCATTGGAATGACCCAGATTCCCTAAGATCCCATATTTCCTGTCTTCTAACATACTTTTAGCTCCCATATTCAACTATAAATGTAAAACAGAGACAAATATTAATGTTTTATTGTTACTGGCTCAATCTAACTAAAACCCAGGGATCTATTTTTAAATATTTTATTTTAATATCCATCCCCCCAAATTATGTGATCCGCTGCCAACTAAGACTGGAATCGCTACTTACCATTCTTTTCCCATTCTGAGGATTGTGTTCTATAGCTTTTCATTCGATTGTAAAGAAATATTTTGCCTTATCATCAACACTGAAGAGTAAAAGGAACTCATGTAAACCCACAGAAAGCAGCTCTCTTCAAGTTACCAGGTAAACGGGGGAGTGGGGGAAACTCTGTTCGTCCAGGATCTAGATGCAAGGTGGCCCTGTACATTCTCTGTGGGCAGGGACAGGTCACCAAACATTGCTACCCTCATGATTTCCAAAAAGGCAACCCTTTTGAGAACTAATTTTTTTGTAAGCTCTCTTTGTTCAACACATAATTTGACGCAGTGTTTTCTACCAATGGACATATGAGCCTGAATCCCATTGGGACTGAATAACTTGGACAGATTGTGTGATCAGAGCACATGGTCATCTCATTGAAGCCTCACGCCACGATTCTCAAGGGCTCCACTACTGGATCACTCTTCCCCAGATCTTTACATAGGTGACTCTTACCTAGAAATGTACTCTTCAGAGAGACCATCCCTCACTATCTGACGGAGTGCATTTTATGCTGCCACAACAGAATACTACAGACTAGAAGTTTATAAAGAAAAGATATTTATGTCTCCCAGTTCTGGAAAATGGGAAGTTCAAGATCAAAGTGTTGACATCTGGTGAGAGCCTTCCCACTGTGTGACACAAGAAGGCGTCATATGGCGAGAATGTACTCAGGTCTCTCTTCCCATTAAAAAGCCACTAATCCTATCATGGGGCCCCATCCTCATGACCTCATCTCACCCTAATTGTTAACTCCTGAAGGTCCCACTTCCAAATATTGTCAACATTTTAATGTTGGAGGTAAATTTCCAACATATGAACTTTAGGGGCACCGTCAAACCATAATACTATTCAACCTCCAGTGGCCCTCAAGGGGTCCTCTATCACATCCTGTTATTTTATTTACTCACTATCAGAAACAGGTGTTGTACGTGGCATGGTGGCATATGACTCTAAATTCCCAGTGGCCCAAGAGGCTGAGACAGGAGGATGGCAAGTTCAAAGCCAGCCTCAGCAACTTAGCAAGAGCCCATTTCAAAATAAAAATTTAAAGAATTAAAAAGGAGGCTGAGGATGTGGTCCAGTGTCTAAGCACCCTTGGGTTCAATCCCTGGTACCAAAACAAACAAACAAAAAAACCCACATGTGTAATATGTTTAGCACAGGACCTCATACACACACACACACACAAACACACACACAAAACACTCAAATAGTTATTATTGTAATTTTCATAATGTATGTAGAGCAAATCATGAAATGAGAATTGGTTTGTAGAAATAGTAATGTTGAAATCAAGAGGCCCTAATGCAACTGTGTAAGGTAAAATTTTAATTACATTCTTCTTTAGTCTATTCCTCTTGTTTGCTATAAAAGTATCTATTTTCAAAAAGGTTTTCTCATTTAACATTTGCAATAATTTCCTGTTACAATAAGTAACCCTTTGAGATTCATTCCTCCTTCCAGTTCCACAGCATCCTGTTGCAAAGGGGCATCTTTCTGAGAACAATTGTGGTAGATATTTAAAGTATGATTTTTAACCTCTTTTTGCAAAGAGGTACTGGCGATGTCTTTCCATTTGAATAACCCAGGAAAATGCTACTTGCCATCTGTCATGCTACTGAGTGGCTTAGCTGGAGGTTTCCTAAGGGTTCTAAGAAAATACAACTCTTGCAGAGCTGAAAATCTGATTAGGGGAGAGAATCCTTCCTTTCCTTTTCTTACACCTCAGTTCTTCCACAGTGAATATTTTATATTAAACCCATTTCCTCCCACCACTGATTAGATGGTTAAGTCAAAGGAGCAAGAAATAGTGCTTGGCTGTTGGCCACTGACTGAGACTGGGAGAAGGGGAGGAAAAAAGGGATCATTTCCCTGGTGGGTCCAGCTCTCTCTCCCTTCTGTCTAGGAAGAGATCTTTTGCCCCTGACCATGTCTGGTCTAGACTCAGCTTGGCTCATAGAGAACTTTGGCAACTGCTTCTGAGCYAAGTCAGCGAGAGTCTACGTGTTGGACATTTCACAAAGAGCTCTGGGTTGGAAGGGCAAAGTGAAGAATGGTTGACCTGAGGGTTCACTCAGTCATGTACTTGAAGTTGCAACGTAAATGATGGTAGAGAAAGATCTTGAGAGCTTCATCCGCTTCCTGGCCCTCAGACCTGGAATCTGAAAAGAGAAAAGAGTTATCTGAAGACAAATTCCACTTTTAGTTACGTTGCCCCTGCCTTTAAGTTTTCTCTTTAAAGCCTTCTGTCTCACTAATAGAATAGTTCATGAAACTATGGTTTCCACCCATTTATAGCATTTTCTTTCTCTTTTCTGTTTAATAWTTTCCAAATTTTAAAGTAAAAATACTGAARGACTTATGAGCAAAGAAAGGAAAACTAGTTAAATAAATATTGACCTTGTCAGAGCATTGGTAGAACTATACAAACTTCTCCACCTCATCATTTAAAATAATTCAGAAGAATTGTTCAGGAGAATAATCATTGTATTGACTGTCTTTAAAATGTAAATGCACAATAGCTATTTCTACCCCAACCTTTATTTCCCCCCTTAAAGTCCTAAGTAATAATAGTACMTGAGAGAGAACTAGAATTTTAAAATATATCGTCTACATGTACTAAAATTCATTTTGCTTAATTGTATTTTAATCCTCTCTTTATTCCAGGTATCAAGAAAACWTTTCAACATCATCCAGCTGAATTCCACAAGGCTTGGTGATTAACCAGCAGGCTCACAAGTGGACCTCTGACTGCCAACCTGTGAGTAGAGTCTGTGTGTKTTTCTCTGGGCTCTGCTCTTAGCGGTTATACAGCCTCTCTGCCTGATTTTTTTTTTTTTTTATTTCTGCTCGTAAAGATGCATTGTGAGAAACCAGTCTTCCTGCTATGCCCCTCCTAGTTTACTTAACACTTACCAGTTAGAATCTATTCAGTTTTGCAGGAATTGTTTTCCTATTTTATAATCTGATTTTCTGCTTCATTTTAAAATATTTCCTGCATGTGTAATAGCTTAGGAGGGTCTTGATCAGTACTGAAGTCTTCATTCACTGTGAATAATGCCGATGGCTTGAGGAACAGAGAGGATGAGTCAGTTATCAGGGTCAATAAGCTCGTTTTTGTGGAAACGCTGGTGATTTCAGGAGCAATAAGCACCCCTGTCTTTCATTGRATTCCCTCGACTGGGAGGAGAATGTCCCCCAGCAGAAGGACCACCTGGGGAACAGAAAGAGGGGATTGGGAAGATAAAGGAAGGAGAACCAAAGGAAACTTCCCTCACTCAGTTTTGGGGGAATTTAGCACAGTTATCAGGAAATTCTTGTTTCAGGATCATATGAGTTGTTCCCTGTGCTGGTTTACTTGGCCTGCCACAGCAAAATTCCACAGACTGAATTAGAAAATAGATTGTTTTCTCACCGTTCTGGAGGCTGAAAGTTGAGATCACTGTGCCAGCAGAGTTGATTTCTTCTGAGGCCTTTCATGCAAATGGCCGACCTCTCATGTCTTCACATGATTGTTCCTCTGCAGACACCTGTCTGGTGTTTCTGTGTGAAAATTTCCTGCTCTTGTAAGGACACGAGTCAGTTGGATTAGGTTCACCTCTTGAAAGAGCTTATCTCAAAATGTGGGTTCACTCGAGACCATGGGGGTTAGGACTCCAATATGTGAACTTAAGGGGAACACAGTTCGTCCCCAACACCACCATTATCATTTTTTCCTCTCTAATAGCTGATTTTAAGTTTATTGCATTTGGACTTCCCTCTTATTCTCCTCTCATGCAGTCGCCTAGCACTTACATCACACTCAGAGCATGTGGGTTTTCCATAGTGTGTATACAGCTGTCACTCCCCTGTAGCATTATTTAATTTCTGAAGTTGGAAGATGTACCTGTTACAACTCTTCCAATACTAGAGGAAGTTTTGTATACAGTAGTCATTTAATAATGACCAAATGAATGAATACAGGGCTAGATGATTAGATGCAGCCTCTGAACCTACAACTTATTTGCTCTAAGTTGTCTCCAAATGATGAGCATCCAATGGCCTTTCTCCTCACTTGCTGCTCTTAATTCAAACAGGGAGAAATAAGTCAAGGTCGGGAAATAGGTCGAAGGAAGATGTGATCTGATGATGTCATTAGTGTTATCTTTCTCCTCAGAGAGGCACGAACATTCCCCTGATGAGGTTGCCCTTCTGGGAAGGATGATACATTTAGATTGTGACTTTGTGAGTTTGAGGGCCTCTGGGACTTCCAAGGGCATGTGTCCAGAAAACAAGAGAGACACAAGTCAGAACCAGGGAGAGAGATTTTCACAGTCCCAAACTGTGGACAGGAAGTGACAATGTGTCAGTAGATGAGGATACCAATGAAGACTGTGTGAGGGGAGAGGAGCGGTGGCATAAAAATATCAATCAGAAATTGTAGGTGGGAAGTTTTCCTGGTAAGTAACAGAAGGACCCTCCCCAGAGGAAGAAACYCACATACTACTTCTATCAAGGGTACCTAAGAACATGGGTATYACCTGTGTTTCTCATCCCTTATTTCTTTGGACTTATTTTGTTCCATTTTTTGCCTCTTTTCTGGGGGCTATGTCCCAAACCATTCSTGTGAGTCTCGCCCCACCCCCTGACCGACATGTGGTCAACTCCCCTGCCCAGGGGCTCTTCTGCGACAGCCCTTTCTTTCAGGACCCTTTTCTTCATCAAGCAAGCAAAGTTGATCAGAATGGATGGTGGGGGAGGCCAAGATCAGACCTAAGGACCAACAGAGACAGGTCCTTCTCAGTGTTATGTGCTGGTGACTCAGTTGCCACAGAACATCATCTTGTCTAGATAGTCAGTAAGGGGCCCAGTTGGGAGAAAAAGTTCTTTTTTCCCACTAACTCCCCTCCCACTTCGGCATGGTTCCTTCTTATCTCACCACTCCACCTGTTCTCTAGAGTAGGCTTTGGCTATGTTTTAAGTTCTCACTGCTGCACCAGGATAGGTCTAGTGGACAGTGGGAGAGCCAAGCCATGGGYCATGGCAGCCATGATGAGCCCCTCCTCTCTGGGCTCCACCACCACCTGTCATTCCTAATGTGGCCATGTTTGCCCCACGACCGAATTTCCCTGAGTATCATGCAAATAAGAGGAGGAATGGCATTTATTCATTTTTTCTGTTGTTTCCAAAGTGTTCTTTTCCTTTAATTTTTCTTTCTGCATCTGCCCACCCCTTTTTTTATTTCCTTACTTCTCTCTTAAGCAGAAAGGCTTGAACTTTTGGGGAGTGGTGTGAATATTAGCAGAAATGGCTATCAGAAGTCTGGAATCCTCCTCCTCCTTCTCTGTAGGCCATCATACATTTATTTTTCAGATGAAATTTGAGACGCCAGCATTCAAGTCCCCACATCTCTACTTTCCTCTGTGTTCTTGAAGTAGTTCAGCAAAAGATGCCTCTTGTCTTAAAGGTACCTAAAATGTCGCTGACACCTAAGTCAGTGATTTTATGCAGGCTGATATTTATGTACAATGAGAACTTTTGAAGGCACGAGGAAACAGTTCTGCAATCCGTGAATGGCCWAGTGGGGGAGTTCCAGTGAATGATGGCCAGTGGCCAGCTTAGGTGCCTCCTGACTGTGTTTCATTATTTTTCAGTCAGCTGAAGGGCGTGGAGAAAAAAAAAAAATCATTTTCCTATGAGCATGTAAAAGTAGTGCTTTTGAGTTGTAAGCACCTAGCGGGCTTTGCCCTTGTTTTAGAACAGCATAAATGGGAGATTTTATAACCACTGTGGGCCAATATGTTTGGAATCAGTGGAAGCTCCAGATGGGGTGGAAAGAGAAGTTCAGGGCTTTTTTCTTCCTTTTTCCTTGAGTTTTACAGAATAAGCCTCCTTGGACACCCTTAACAAAGTGCTTGGTCTTTTCTTTAGTTCAAGTGTGCCCAGCTTATCAGAGCTGGATCTGAAGAGGTCTTTGTTAAACAAAGACCCTTTACTATGGATTCCTGGTTGGTGATTGTGGAACCAGGCTCCGTGTGGAAAGGCCTGGAACCCACTCTTTCATCCAGGAGTCTCCCCTCAAGGAAATGATCCCCAGGATTCTCATCAGGAGATACAAGAAGGAAAGTTTGTTTAGGGATTGAGGGCAAACGAGGAACACAGGTTCCCAGGGACTTCCCAGCATTTCAGAAACCTTTGTTGTAAGGAATGATGGGAAGCATATATTCAGTCACTTACTGATTCTTTCATTGCAGTTCATCACATGCGGACTTTGTGATTTTGGCTAAATGATGGAGCATCCCTGACCCAAAACTGCTCCTGGCCTTAGGAGGCATCTCCACAAAAGCATACCTCCCTCCTTGGCACGGCTATTGACAGAAGGATATTGCACCAGGGTGGGCAAGCCGCAGTGGAGGCACAGATAATAGGGAGAAAAGCAGACACTGGTGGTCGGAGCTCTTGTCTAGAACTCCTCTCCAGCCCTTTGTCCCCATAAGAACAAGTGAGYATGCAATAAAGAGAAAGGAAGGAGTGTGCTATTTAGCTTTGAACCCGAACTATCAAAAATCTTACCTGAAATTCAAGCTGTGAAACCATTTTTATAGTTAAAGGATACAGACTCAACTACTTCCAAACTCTGCTATAGGAGGCTCAACAAAATTAGATTGTGAACCTCTTGCATGACTCAGTACAACAATGTTCCAGTAGGATTTAAGTAGAACAACACTCAATCCAGGGGGGAAAAAAACAGAGACATTTTCCTTCCTACTATTCTCTCTCCCAGGTCTGACAATGCCAAATTAGCCTAGATTTTTTTTTCTAAATTGACTTTTCCTAGAGGAAAAGGCAATGCTACATTCCCTGAAACAGATATTTTAGGTTAAACTTATTACTTGAGGGTTTTCCGCCCCCCTCCCTTTTGCGAATTCAAAACAAAATGTCCATCATTCACTCTCACACCACCAGCCTTTAAGAGCTAGAGACAAATGGAGTCTGAATATTCACGCCAATGTGGTACAAATGAGCTGTGATTTCAGAATACTGGCTGTTTCACTGACAGGGAAAAAGAGTGGTTTAATATCTTTGGCTAAAAACACTTTCTTAAAGAGGAATGGAGAAGGCCAACATTAATATTGAGTCCTGTTATTTAATAACTAAAAATGATATATTGTGGAATGGGGCATCCTGAGTTGGGGGGAAAGTGTGTTTATCAAAACCAGAGAATGCAGTGGGGGAGTGAGTGCAGACACATGTGGGGCTCAAGGAGGGAGCTCTCCTAAGATCAGTCTTTCCAGTTCTTCCAAGAATTCCTCCCATACGTGTATGAGACCATGATTTGGGGTTTGATTTTATTGCAGATTTACAAAATATATAAATGCACATGGTCCCTGGATTACTATGAGTCCATTTAGGATTTTTCCAACTTTACAATGGTGCAAAAGCCATATGCATCTGGCAGAAGACATACTTCAACTTTTGCTTTTGGATCTTTTTCCAGGCTAGCAATATGTGGTCCAGTATGCTCTGGCAGTGCTGGGTACCACAGCTTTTAGTTGGTCCCAACATCATGGATGAAAACAACTGACACACTACAGTATACTGTGCTGCTAGGCTAGGATGTTTTGGAGGTTAGATGTAGTAAATGCACTTTCAATTTATTGGAATTGGTTTATTGGAATGTAATCCCAGTGTAAATGGAAAAGCATCTATAGGAAGTCATTTGTTATAATGACACTCTGGAGACCTGTCTAACTGCTTCCCCCAGATTAATGACTAATAGTT